TTTATTTTAATTATTTGATGTTGTAAATTTTTAATTCAGTACTTTATGTATTTTGAAATCTATTATCAATTTATGGTAATAGATTAATATTAATTTATGTTATATTGCAATTTAAATTTTAAATATCTAGAACATAAAGTATTATTTAAATAATAAAAATCTTTAAAAGTATATATAATTTATTTATTATGTAATTTAGATATCTAATAAATTGTTTTTAATCTTAATAATAATCAATTTTAAAATAAATTAAAAATTGAAGGATCATTTTATAAATTAAAAAAATTTAACACCATTTTGATATTAAAAATAATGTTGGGTTGGAGAGTGTTTTACATAAAAAAAAAAAATTTGGTGTAGAATTTGATGTCAAGTTCTCTTAGACACAAGCCACTTATTGTTTTCCAGCTCGTTTCATTGAACTTCTTCAAGATCTTCTCACCCACCTTTATACCTCTTCTTCAAGACCTTCTTCACGTGAGATTCCTCTGACAAACAAGATTGCGTTTGTATATCGGTTAAAAACAACAAAATTATTATACTTTTTGTTTTTGTTAAGTTATTTAATATTTATGTATATAATTTGTGTTGTTTAAATTATTTTAATATTAATTTTGATGTTGTTGATTATATATATACGTGTGTGCGCGTTTCCAAAACGTATCTATTTTTTAATTTTTTTTAAAAAATCGTTTTCACGTTTTCAAACATTTCGTTTTCACGTATCTGTTTCTATTTCCATGCGACCACTTTGACAAAAAAAACTAGTAAATTTTATGTCGACCAGATAAATTTCTTGTAAATTGTTTAATTAATAAATCGTAGGAACGAAAGCCCAAGTTGTCTAAACCGGATTGGGAATATCGGTTTGATCGGGTTAGCAACAAAAGTAGTTGGTTCAGGATGTAGGCTCGTCTTCAAGCGTGTTGGTTCGCCTTAAACCGAGCAGATTCATTCAACAAATACAGTTTCTAGCAGCTGTAACCAAAGTAGGGTTTAAGGTCTGCTCAAATGGCGACGACACTGAATCGATTCCTGAAGCAAAAACGTAGCTCAATCTCTGCTCTCTCGTATCAAACTCAGCATCAAGGTTCCTTCTTCTTCACTCGCAACGAGAATCATGTCTCTCTCCCTGCTCAAATCCCAGCTCTTCGATCAACCACCCGCTCTTTCCTCGATTTTTATAAGGTATATCGAGGATTTTTTTTCATTTCGCTTATCGGATAAACATTGAGTATTATCTGACGATGTTGTTTTGGTTTTGGGCAGTTCGGGAACAAGAAAGCAATTGCGGATGAACGTGCTAGACTGTAAGCTTCTCTTTGTTTAGATTCGATTCTTTTTGGGTTTTGCTCCGATTCAGGCTTCGTCGATTTGGTCTAGCATTTGTTTACTTTCAGTTTTGGAGATTGATTGTCTCAATGAGAAGTTAATTAGTGGAATCTGATGTGATTTAGGGCAGTAATGATGAGATGAATCGGGGATACTTTGCTGATATGAAAGAATTGAGGGAACATGGTGGTAAGGTATAATGATGCTACTTCTTTTACTCTGTTTCTTATTGGTTGGAGTCAGAATCAAAGATTCTTGTGTTCTTGCAATGGCGAAGAAATTTCGAATTTTGAAGGATGTATTGCTTTCATTAGCTATGGCTTATGATGTCATACTTATCATTTTGGTTGCTAATGTAAATCGTATTTGTATTTGGTGCGGTTTTACTAGAACCCAGTTTCCGATTTTCATTGTACTTAGCTACGCACGATTTAGATATTGTAGCCCTCTCTGTGCGTTATGAAGTTCGTTATCTGTCAATTGATGTTTTTGCAGATTGCAGCTGCAAACAAGACTTTAGTTCCTGCCGTGTCAGCCATGAAATTTCCGGAGTTAGCAGTGACTTTCTCTGATGGAAAAAAGCTGAAGTTGCCTATTACTTCTAATAGCAATGAGGTTAAAACAGAGAGCTTGGCTCTTCCTAGAGTATCACTTGTGTGCCTGTCTTTCCGAGCAAGCTCTCAGGTACAGAAAATTCCACCTAGTTTTCGCTATATTTAATGGAACCAAGAAAAAATGTTTGGTTAGCCTTTATGAAGAGATGTATTGCTTTATCTGACAGGAAATGATCAGCTCGTGGAGCAAACCATTTCTTGAATCCTTTGGCGACAGGAACGATCTTCAGTTGTTTGAGGTATTGATCCTGAATCGTTTTGTGCTGTTTGTACTTGAATCAGATATTAGAACCTGCACAAGTATTTTTTTTGGCAGCTGTTTTTTCTTCCATTCTCTTCAAGAAAACTTGTGTTCTTGAAATTACAGGTTTCTTTTATAGACAAATGGCTGCTGGGATTGGCCCCCATAAAAAAACTACTTCTCCGGGTCTTGCAAAAACCAAACAACAGCGAGAACAGTGTCCTCCAGAGGCAGTCTGTTTACTTTTTCGGGGACCATTATGACTTCCGAAAACAAATTAAAGTTCTGAACCTTCTCACCGGGTACAGAAATTCTCCACTTCATAGAGTTAAGAATGTGTAATCGATTCACTTTCTGATTTCTCGGTTGCACATTGTTAACGTTTCAGGTATATTATCCTAGTCGACAAATTCGGGAAGATAAGATGGCAAGGATTTGGAACAGCCACTCCAGAGGAAGTATCTCAACTTCTCTCTTGCACCTCACTTCTCTTGGAAGATCAGTGAGAGGTAACCAAACTGATTTCTCTCTTAAACCATTAGAATCACTAGACTTCCAATTATCTTTAGGCCTAAAATTATCCGGAAATTCAACAGCATGAAGGAGAAAAATGTTCAGTGTAGAAAGCGCTTGGTTTTGTATGACTGATACGGTATTGTTAAAAGTATTTCAACTTTCCCTGGATGTTTCATTATTCAGAGTGAAGAGTTGCAGGAGTTTCTTTGAGCAACATCTTGATATAGTTTAGGGTATGCAACCAAAACATCTGAGGGTCTTTTTTGTTTCCATAACATGTCCAGGTTGCTGCGTAAACTGGAGACTGTCTCATAAAACAAGTGCTGCTCTTTTACTTTTATGAAGGCTATAGAACAATGAAATTTCAGAAGAGTTCTCAGAAGCCAATAAAGCATCTATTATCTTCGGTTTCAGCTCGATTCGACTGGTGTTATCGGCAGTAGAGAATCCTTTCTTTCGATTTATATTGATGCTCGACGTTTAGACTAATTGAGGGTAATACTACATTTTCACTTCTCTTATAGATATTTTTGGTTATTGTACTCATCTGAGAATTTAATGACCTAAATCTTTTGCTTATACAATTGGAGCTAAGTGGCAACAAAACAAAGCCAAAAGTTTATTTCTTCTTGGATTGGAAGTTTCGTTTAGAACCTGAATATTCCAATCCAAATACTTCGATTTTGGTCAAATTGGTGAAAACATTTGTTCAATAGAAAATCAACGATTTCTGTAAGCCTAAACCTAAATTAATTAAGGATTTTAATTAGCTAAACGTTATACCCTCTTCGACTGCTCTTGATTAGCGGTTTTAACAAAAAGAAAGGTTACATCCGTACTTAAACGCGTCACATCGTGGAGCATAGCGACACATTACATCATCAGTCTAGTGACTCTAGTGCTCAACGTCTTTTTATGCAACAAACATATTTTATAGAAAACGAG